TCCTGCTGTAAACAGAAGTATGAAATTATTATAAATATAATATGTTTCAGACGTGGATGATGAGCCTCTGGCGCCACCCGGTGGTTACTGTGAGGCCTGTGGAGATTGGAATGTCGGAGGCACTGGCATCCAGTCCATGAAGAAGCTGCTCCAGTTCTACATGAGAACAGCAGATGACTTACACGACTGTCTTGTGAATGGGTAGACGACTAGCTTGTTACAGTGCACAGCTTTTCATCTGGGTATTTCTGCTATTTTCCGAAGTTTTCTGTGTGATCTCACAGGCAGGGTCATCTAGAGAGAGAGGCTCTTGCTGCTGCGGTGCCATGTTTGCTGTACATGTGTCAAAATTACTTTAACCACGTGGAATCCACAGAAAGGGGCATGATGCCCCAAAACACTCCTCTGCCCTTTAACATCTCTACGAGGGTATGTGTCTTTTTTGGTTGGTTAACCTAGATTACTAAAAAGATATTTTTTTAATAGTGGTGTAATATCATGATGATTTGGTTTTGTTTGTATTTGGTCAGATTTTGTAACTGAAAAAATAGCGTCTATAAAATCTGTTCACTGTGAGATCTGGGGCTGATCCATAGTGGTGGGAGTACTGTTTTGGAAGGAGATAATGCTGCTGAACTCATGTAAATGTAAAGTTTCAAACAAACAAAATCTCACTGACCTCCATCACATTAGGGTGGTAACAAAGTCTGATATGTCAGAGCCTAAAAATGGCTTTGTTCTGGTACTGTATGTGACATAAAATCTAAGTAGAAGTTTTATAAGCCTTTTACATTTGAAGTTCACCCTAAACATGTTTGAACTCTTGTCTGAATATATGAGGTTGTCCTCATATATTTTACATATTCTTCTTTTATTGTGACAAATTGAACACAATGTTTTATTAGCCAGCAGATTTGGGTAGCAGAAACAATGTTCACATCTGAAAGATTGATAGATATCTGGATTTGAGTTTCTCAGTTTTAAGCTACATGTAATATTAGTTGTGTTATGTGGTTGTAGTCTTTTAGCTAACAGGATTGACATGTTCATACTGTATGTCTAAGTGATTTACAGCAGCAAGCTCACACCCTCTGTTTTGGTTTAACTGCTAAAGTTGACTCTAAACCTTTACAACATGTGTGTGCAGCTGCAGGACTTCTCTCAACAGCTGTGTGACAGGTTGGAGCAGCTGGTCTTAACCTACGCCAGCTATGGTCTCCTCAGTCTGGATGAGACTGACCCTAACAGGTACACACACACACACACACATACACACGCAGAGAAAGAGCACAAGTTTGTACTGACACATACAAAGCTGGCCCAAATTTTTATGGGGCCCTCCACCACATCTGTGCCACCAGTACTATTGACTGTTGCCAGTGCTTGATCATTTGCACACATACTGTGAATCTAACACATCCATTATCAGTTTTATTATCTGTAGCTGTTTGCGGCTGTGGCTCAGGAGGTAGAGCGAGTCATCTCCTGATTGGAAAATGAACAGTTCAATTCCCAGCTTGTCCGCTCCACATGTCAAAGTGTCCTTGAACAAGATACTGAGCCCCCAGTTGACACCGGTGTGTGAATGTGTTGGTGCTGGTGAATGTGAATGGCCAAATAGTGTGCTGCAATGCATAGAAAGAACTATTTACTGTACCTTGTCAGCCCAGCATGTTTTTTCCCCATGTACATTTTGTAATCTTAAAAGGTTGCACACTCACAATAGTTGTGTGCAACTAAATGGTGCTAAATGGTGGCATACTGAACATAGTGTACTGAAAACTAATCAAATAAACCAGCAGACAATTAGTAGTTAGTCACACTTCTCTTTCTGTGTAACCTAATGTTTGGTTCTGACAGACTGTGTTTGCATCAAAATGGATTTAACAGCTATAGTACACATGTGCATAAACGAGCACTCCAGGGGGCCCTAAGCAGACACTTAGTTCACTTATGCATCAGGCCAGCTCTGTCTTTACACATTTCTTTTTCTTATATATGTTTTTTTGTTTGCTTGTTTGGTTTTCAGATCTTGTTAGAGTAGCACAGAAACACAGCAAAGGTTACTATGGGGTAATTAGTGTATAGTTTCAGCTTGTTTACTTGTTAAATCATACAATCAATGTCAGATTATTTAACTCTTAATAGATATGTCAGTTTTTCCACCCTCTAAACTTCCTGATCAAACCAGTGCTCTTTACCAGGGATGGTCAACCTCCCACTAACTGTTACCTAGTGTTAATTATTTGCCAGGTATCCTTATATTATTCTTCATTCATTTGGCCAGTTGTTGTCTTTCAGTTCAAACTGATGTTCCAGAAACACCTTTAATTTATTGTGGTTGGCTGAAACCGTTGATCCTTGCAGCATGACTGCACTGCCTCTGTCCTGGACACCATGCTCATAGGTGAAACTGTGGTAACCTAACAATCCTCTAAAGGCTTTAATTCGCCAGTAGTTTGTGCTTGTGTGAAGCTAGCATTGCTTAAATTAGTTCATAATATAAATACAAATAAATTACCATACTCTTAGATTGCTTGATATTTTAGGCAGCGTAAATGTTAATTCTACCATTTTTACTGGTGTTTTGTTTGTTTTGATGCTTATATTGCATTTTCCTCTGTTCTGCCTTGCTCCTTATTCTACCAGCAGACTTCAATGACCATCGGCTGCGTTAACAGTCAAACCTCTCCACAGGGATCAGATCATTTTCATGTTTTCTTCCTGCCTGACTTGCTCCCCTTTCTTGTTTGCCTTCACAGCGCGTCACACTTCTGCATTGGTCAGTTTAAGCTTGGCCGACTGAGACTGACTGTGTTCCGCTACTGTAAGCCGACACCATACCTGGCCAGAGTCGACACCAGTTTGTACAAACGCATGCGTTGGAATGTGGACAGGCTGCGAGACGAGCAGCAGCAGACAGATGAAGAGCAGAGTGGAGAGAGTGAGAAGGCGGAGACCAAAACAGTTGGGGACACAGATTAGTGAGTCTGGGTGAAACATTCTCTAGTTCTTGCTCAGTCTAAGCTTGAAAAACTCTTCCACTAATATTACATCACTTTTTTGATCCAGTCTTCCTGCTGCATTTGTGTCTCTTTAAGTTACTTCCTGTGCTATGAGGATATTCCCAATGCACATGCAGAGAATGAGGGGGATGTGGTGAGGATGTGGACCATCGGTCGGTGGGTGCAGGTGAATCCTGATCCCGACTCAGAGGACATCTGTGACTGGTATACTGATTTACATGTCTTCATTCAGTTCTCTGTGGATGCTTTTAGTCAAATGTCAGGAAAACGTATACCAAGTTTGGGAACGAGCCATTCCTCACATGAAATACTAAATTCTTCAATGTGTGAAACAGTCCGTCATCTCACAGCTACATTCCTGAACATATCTCAGGAACGGCTCTCGTAGGTTGTTTGATTCGCACTCCTGTGTGTTTCAGGATCACGTGCGAGGTTTCTCAGGCCAACTATGATAGGTTATTGTTCCTGGGCAGCAACGAGCCGACGAGCCACAGCGCGACAGACCACCTGCAGCAGCTGCTGGCATCACAATACATAACAGACTGAGAGTGCACTAACACACACACACACACACACACATAGTGAGTCTCTGGGATACAACATTCTTAATGGGTCATAGGATGTACAGCTGGAGATCAATGCTCAGCCTTGCTATTTTGCAGACACGTGTCACTGAAGGCATTTGCTTTTATCTTCTGACCAGCAGTGGTTTCTTAAGTTTTATTCTCAGGTTCTGAAAATATTCATACTAAATATTGTGATGAGTCTTGGATGTTGGATGCACAATATTTTGTCACTTTTTTCTGTGTGTTAATGTATGTTTTACAAGATTTTAAGAGTTTGCAAATATTTTGCTAAGTTAAAAAACATTTTTATGACATTTGTAGGAGCATGTTACTGTGCTGAGAAGACATGTAGTAGCATTATTTAAAAAAACCCCAAAACTTTATTTACATTAAACATTGCATTGAAATAATTACACAGAATCACAATGTCTTTCTGAAAGCCAGAGACAAAAAAAAAAGAAAAAAAAAAAGAAGAAATCTTTACATTTAAAACAAGCTGCCATGATATTGGACCCACAAGTAGAATGCCCAATTGACTTCATTTCAGTAGGCTTATGTTTTATTTAAATCAGTACACATTAAGCTCAACTTCATTCTTAATAAATATCCAAAATGGGAGACTTAAAAACTTTGAGACCAGGTAACAAATCAACATTTTTTTCTATTTGAAGTTCATCCCACTGTGGTCAGTTTGACGTAACTCATCAGTTCTGTTGACTGGACATAGAGAAAGACATTTTACTTGAAACAAAAGAATAAAACTACCATTTACAACCAGTGTCGTTCATTTTCTAATAAAAATCTATATAAGACTCTTGAATGGCTACTATACTCCTACATTTCTGAATGTACAAAACTAAAGTGGAGTTTCCAATCTTTTTTTAAGTTATACACACAGGCTCCCAAAAACACTACACAGACATGTTTGAAAAAGCCAAGTCAAAAATACAGTGAGCATTATGTGTCCTTGCAGGTACAGGAACACAAACGTATATTAGGCATAAACACCTGCTGGCTTCTTAGCTGCTACACACACTTTGGTAATAGGGTCAACAAACTAGTGGGTGATAAGGGGAATTTTCTTTGCTGGATCCAGTAGTAGAAAAGGGCGTGAATCTGTCTTAAGTGTCAGTTAAGGTCAAAGTACAGGATGTCATATCTGCTCAGATTTCACTTAGCTTAGTGAGCAATCAAATCTTTATACCGTGTAACACCGCAGAACGCGGCAGAGAGCCGTGAACTGACAGCAGTCTCTTATAGTCACAGGATTTCTATGGCCTCCACTTAAGGAAAATAACAGAACTCTGATTTAAAGAACTCCCTCATCTTTAAACCTTTGGCATCATAGTGAAGCTTTAAACAACACTGACAAACACACAGTACTGAGACAATGGACTGACATCAACATACAGTGTAAAATGGTGTATTTACAACCAGTGACACACAGTATCATAGCTCATCACAGTTTCAACAATACAGATAATACCCAGTAGAACCTGATAACGTCAAGTTAAATATCAGTGATATATAACCTGAACCCTCCCAGCACTCACTTCATTTAATAATACTCCTCCTCATATCATGCAATAAAGTGACCTTTGACCTTCACAGCAGTATCGGTTAACACCCAGAGTTAGTTGTGGTCTTCTAATGTTAGTGTACTGGCCTTAAGCAGCGTAGATCGCCTGGTATAATAGCAGGCTATCATCTGTCTGTAGTGTGTGACTGAAGTTAAATCATCTACAATGTGCTGTTACAACACAGTGATGTTCACCTGAAGACGTCTTCACAAGAATTTAATGTAATCACCAAGAAACCTCATTAATCAACACCATCGTATGCACAACTAAAACCTTGTTAGACATGCCTCCAGCATTTCAAAAAGAAGTGGCTACTTATCGTGCTGACCTTTGGGAAGCACTGATGATGTCTTTGACCTCAGTTTGCAAATAAATTATACCAACATAAGCTGGAAATGAAGACAACAGAGATTGCAGTAAACCAGTCACAGTACATGTTTGACAACACCACTGATACAAACTGTGACCTTAGAAATCTGAGTATGTACACTCACAGAATCACTGGTCTTATCGCTGGTCAGTAGCAAGACTCGCTTCAGTTAGGTGAAAACAATATGCATCAACATGTACGAACAACTACAGCTTCAGTTACATGAGCTACAGATGAGGAACATATTAAAGTAAAAACTAATCCATCAGTCGGTGTAGTGACCATCAGGGTGTGCACTAAGACTTGGTACATTATATAGATGTGTCCAATTCCACCATGTTAGTCAGCAGCAGTGATGCATCATGGGGTTCTGTCGGTAATCACATAATTTCAGGTGCGTGGGTTCAAAAGAGTGAAATGTAATACTGTAGTTTGTTAAGTGTGTTTGCAATGAAGTAGGACATCAAGCATGAGGTAAGAAAAGTGCTGCCGTGTTGCGTTTGTCCTGAATTGTTGTGCAGCAGAGATGAGGTTCTTCGCTTGGGAAAACAAAAACATTCTTGACCTGACTAGAGATGCTCAGGCAGCTTTGTAGTTACCACTGAGGACAGTGAGATCATGTCTCTGGTACTTATGGTGCACCAGGAGGAGTTCAGATTCTGCTGTTAAAAACTATATATCTTACAATCCGAGTCCAGTACGTGCACACTTAATGCACCTTTGACTACTTCACAGCCAATAAGAATGAACGAGAAAAAACTAGGTCTGCATCTATGATACTGACACTGCCTCTATGATGATGTAATTTGGGAGATGTAAACCAGTTTTGAGCCTCTTTTTCCATTTACCAAAATATATTAAACTCATTGTCAAGTGCTAAATATTTAAAAACTGCATAGTCAAAAATGTGTCTTTTTAAAAATAAGGAAATGACTGCTTATAAAAATAAGTAAAGCCTAAAAATATGACCATACATTCAGTATAAGACACCTTGATATGTGATGGTGTGAAAACATTTGTCGGTTTATTAGTTTTGTTCTAGTGTAAAAAAGGTTTTAACAAAAGCATGGAGATGTTTGTGTGGGTTAATAAAATGTGCATTAACTAATAAATACAGTAATGAAAATTCTAATAACTGGGGAGGGGAAAAAAAAAACCCTCAGTGTTTCTAGGTAATGAGCCTTGAGGCAAGAACTGCCGAGTCTGAATTCAGGATAAGAAAGTCCCTCACCTTTTTGCATCAATAAACAGCATACAATCTTGGAAAAACAGTCAAAAGTTAAAATGCAGCACCACCATGCATTAGTGTTTTTATCTGTGCTTAATTTGACAGTAGTTAGAAATCCCCCCCCCTCTCAAGTGGATTTTTAGCAGAGGTTCCAAACCTTATTGCCTTGCAACCCCTCATCACAGGTTTTACCGGTCTACAGTCATCATCCCGTTCCTGCATCTGAATACTTTTTAGAGGCTTTAATAGGAGAACTTATTCAGTAGTTTAAGAGAATAAACTAAGAATAGTCAGGAAAAAAAAATTTAACATAAGATTGTGAAGCAGCAATCTGTTTTTCTGCTTTCCTCTCTTGTTAAATCATATTTAAAGCCCTTGTTTTTTTGGGAACTGCTGATTTACAGCAACAAAGTACATGTTTTTACTAGAAGGACTGGGCAGTAAATATATTTTTTTAAATTGTGAATTAGAATACATCATCTCGTTAAATACTACAAAGCAATTACAAGTTTCTCTCAGGTTATTTTTCAGAAATGCTTGCGAAGGAAGTTTAAAACAACCCTTTACCATGATGGACATCAGCTAATTGATCTTGTCTACCTTCCTAAATATGTTGTATTATTTCAATGCTGAAGAGTTTCATCAGAATTGTACTCCCCACCAACCCCCACAATGCCAAGCCCAAAAATCTACTTTGGCCTGTACAGCTGTTTTCCACCAGTAAATACTGATTTGCTTAATTACAAATAAAGCATTAGTACAATAAATGTGGGCTGGTGTGCATACAGATGTTACCCTGTTTGTGTCATCTTGTCTTGAATTCCTGTGTGTGTGTGTGTGTGTGTGCGCGCGCGCACCTGTGTTAACCACCTTGTATGAGTATTCATGTTTGACAGTACTGCAGGTGTATTTAAATTGTGTGAATCAAACCACATGCTCGGGTCCCTCAGTGATGCGTCTCCAGCTCCACCACCGTCCACTCCCCCTGAGGGGAGTTTCCATTGGCCTCTGGGGAGAAACTACTAACTGAGGTGATGGTGGCAGAGGGAGGGGTGAGCGGAGGCAGCAGGGTGGGCCACAGGCTGCTCTCAAGGGGGCTCAAGGTACCTCCTGCAGCTCCTGGCAGCAGCAGCAGTGGGGAGCAGCTGTCTCCATTCAGCAGCAAGGTCTGGTTGATCAACTGCTGGACTATGTCCACCTTCTTATCCCAATCCAGGTCCAGGGGTGGAGGTCGCTCTGGAGACTTGGGAGGGCAAGGGGAGGGACCGTCTTCATCCTGGGAGAAGTTACTGGGTGTTTGAGAAGATTCTGTGGGAAGAGGGGAATTTTCAGTGGATGGTGAGTTTTGCCGTCTGCTGTCATCTGAGGTCACCTTTTCACTCTCGACATCTCTCTCTTGGTTCAACGCCTCTCGCTTGGATTCTTTCATGGAGTTCAGCTTGTTTTCTCCCTTGCTGTCAACTCCAGCCTCCTCTTCATCACTGTTCTCCAGGGCTTCATAAATGGTGCAGAGGCCAGTGGAAGGAGACAGCAACACCGTCTGACCTTTATTAGACTGTTGCAGCTCTTGTTGCCACTGCATGATTTGCTGTCGTTGCTTCAGCTCCTGTTGTTGCTGCTGTAGCTGTAGTTCAAGGTCTTTTCTCTTCTTCAGCTCCTCCTCCTCCTTCTCCTTCTTAGCCATCTCTGCCTGCTCTCTCATCTTTCTCTCCTCCTCTTTATTCCTCTTGATTTCTTCTTCAGCTTCCTCCTCCTTCCTCTTCCTCTCCAGCTCCACCTCCTCCACCGGTCTGCTTTGTTGCTCCCTGCGATGCTGCAGCTCCAACAGCTGTCTCTGGTGTTGCTCCAGCCTGCGGAGCTGCGGACTCAGGACCTGCTGCCCAGGGCTCCTGGGTGGGAGGTCGGCACAGGTCAGCTTTGGTAGAGTGACCGAGGCACTGAGAGGTTTGACGATGTCGCAGTAGGTTCTGGGGTATGCTGCGTGATCGCGACGGTGAGGGTGGGGTAGTGCAGTGAAGCCTGTGTGTGAGAGGAAGTGGGAAGGAAGATCACAGTAGCAAGATGTTATAAAACAGAAGTCACAAGCAGCAGGACAGTGACAGCAGCGCAGAGCGAGTACAAGCAGAAGGCTGTAGGGAAGGCTAATAGGCTGAAGGAACAGTGAAAGCATTATGAAGCCAAGCCCAAGGGTCTGCCAGTAACTTAAAACACCAAACCGACTGACAGTTATTTGGAGTTTGAACAAGTGATAGCGGGAAGTGAAATATTCAGAGGGGTGAAGCCATAGTATTACTGTGTAAAAACCAGTGAACACAGAAAATTGTGACCCAAAGTGAGGTGACTGGGGGTGGTGAATGGGGCAAGGGTAGGGAAATTTGGGCAGAGAGCAACCGTGTACACTTAATGATTTTTTTTTAAGCTTTTTTTTTTAAATCTTTTATAAAAGAACACCCAGAAAAGAAAAGGTTTTCTGTGCAAAAAAGCAGCCAACTTCCTGTATATGCAATCACTGACATCCATGGTGAAACAACCACAGAAAAGCTTATCACAAGCTTAAACAGTCATCACCCGTGAATGGAGTTTATAGTTAGTCAACCAGTGATACATGCAAAAGCTTTCCATGCATTTATAGACATTCAACATCACAATAAAACTAAAACAACAGCTTGGCTTTAGAAGGAATCAAGGCTAGACATTCTAACCCAAGTACAGTCCTAGAGCCAAGCTATTTGGCTGACCCTGAACAAACCAAGTAATGAGATGAAAAGTCAAGTCATTGTGCAATAGTAACATGCATGAGCTCTGTTAACATTAATACAGTAGAACTGTGCAGAAAACATTAGAAGAGAGCTTAAAACAGCAACACACCCACAGAAGATTGGCGGGAAAATAAAGTAGCAGCAAAGTGATCAGCCGGGTCCTTCTCGAGGCCGAGCAATAAGACGTCAAACTTCTTATCTGCTTGAGATGCTGAGGTTTGATCCATAGATGACAAGTTCTGACAACATGGATGATGATTTCATATAAATTCTTTGCAGTTACGCAGTTTTCAGGCCAGTGAGGTCTTTGAGGCCGGGCATGAGATCCTATGTTTGTGTCCAGTTTTCAAAGGCAAGGCCACAACTTGTATATGTGTGCATGACTGCCTGTATGAGTAAAGCTTTAATAGGCTGGAGGCTACATGGTTGGCTGAGTGGTTGAGAAGTCTGAAGCCACAGGTTAAAAATTAATAATAATAAAAAACCCTTGAAAATTAAATAGCACTGGCAATAGATCTGCCTTATGCTCCACTCCCAAGTGCCCATTTCAATAAAACTGTATAGTGAGAGAGTTCATCATGGTAAAAATCTAATCTTTATTTTTAAGTTTTAAGGCTCATTACTCCAAAAGATGTATAACAGAGTAAAAAGCTCAGGTACAATTTAAAGTGCAAGAAAAGATTAAGAGTGATTGGGAACAAGGAAGATCATCTTCATTGTAAGGTAAAGGAACAAAATCCAACATGAATATACAGTCAAAGGCTTTTCAATTATCAGCTTTGTTCAGTTAAAGGTATTAAGATAAATACACAAAAACATATTAAACATTTCATACCACATTTCTTTGTTATTTTCATTTTATTTATTTTCCATCTTTAAATGTCATAAACAGACAAGTTAAATCAACGCCAGTTCAGGGCAACCACATAATTCTTTAACAGAAACAAAAACACACACACGCACACACCCACACACAGTAACTAATGGTAGCTATTGCACATACAGGAAATTTAAGCCATATACTTATAATGGAAATGTTATATCAGAGGGAAGCGCCACTGCTGTCCTCTTTGTATTTCTTCACTTATGTGCTCTCTTTTTTTTTTTTTTAAACTTTGATGACATCCACCCCCAGATATTTCAGGACAAACATTGTCAAGCACTACAACAGTGAGATACTGTTTTGGAGAGGCTGGAGCAGGGCCACAAGGAGTTAAGGGAGATTATTTGGGCTGTTAGGAAGATGAACTATACATTACCTGCAAAAGAGTTCTCAGTCTTTTCACAGATAGCTGAAAAGTAGGGAGGCTGGAGGTCATCTGGGCTTTCCTTTGGCTGCTGCATAGTGCTCAGAGCTGATGAAGAACCCAGGGTGTCCTCTGACCCCGGCACTTCGTCTCTGACATGCTCAGCTGACTCCGCTTCCTGCTTCCCACATTTGATGTACTGCTGTTCTGCAAGGCATAGCTGGGTGTGAGACTGCATAATGACAGAGGGCTCTTTGGCTTCCTCAGGTAGCTCCTCCAAGGAGGAGATGCCAGGGCTCTTAATGCAGCTCTCCCCTGTGGACTGGGCATTGGAGCTTGAAGCTGTGGTCGTAGCGTCAAAGCCGTACGATGCTAATGAAGTGGCTGAAGGTGGGGTGGTGTCCTCACCTGCACCGCCCTCCACATCCATCTCAGCCTCCTCTCCCTCTTCCACCGTGGACAGGCAGCGCTGGGCTGCAGGCTGGCTGTCAAAGGTGACATGAGTAACCGTGTGACTCTCCAAGGAAACATCCAGCTGAGCTTCCCCCTCTGTGTCGCTGGCCTCATCTTCTGTGACTGAGGTTGACGAGGGGTTGGAAATGGGGGCAGTTGCAGGGCCTTCCAGGACTTCATCGGCAGGTAACGTTTCTGCCTCCTCCTCTCCCTCCTTGTCAGGCTCGGGAGAAAGCACCAGGACTTGTGCATCTTCAGGGTGGAGCTTCCTGTCTCGAGTATTGTCACCAAGTTCCTCAGGCGTGCTGGTCTCATTGCTCAGGGTGTTTGAAAGAGACATTTCTGGGACAGAGAGAGCAACCGCAGCCAGGGTGTGTACCAGGGCTGAAGTGGATTGATCCACATTTGTTTGGATTTCAAAATGTTGTGGCTCATCTTTGACAGAGGAATAAAGGGGAACTTGTTCTTGGTTTTCAGTAACAAAAGGATCAGAGCCTAGTTCTAGCCAGACATGGGCTGGAGTCTCAGTTGGGGTCTCACAATCAGCTTGCCAAGGGTCTGTCAAAGGACTTGATGTAGCTGCTCCTGCAACCTGTACAGGCTGAGAAACATGCTCACCAACCTGTTGTGGCTCAAGAGGTTCCGCCCAGGGATCAGCAAAAGGGTTTGGTTGGTCCCACTGAGCAGCTGGGGCAGAGGGCAGCAGAGGGGGAGGCGGCGGCGGCGGCGCCTTTCGTCTTCAGCAAAGTCATCCTCATCTGCATTTCCATAGCTTTCCAGCCCACTCTCTGTCACGCCCTCACTAGCCATCTCCACATCTTCATCCTCCTCATCATCCACATCATTGTCATGACGGAGTCTCTGCGGTTCATCCGTCTGCTCTGAGCCCACATCCATGTCACACACCCGATCATCATCATCATCATCGTCATCTTCATCAAAGTCATTAACTGGTATGTCAGGCACCTTCTCAAAGTCAGGCGAACCTGCTGAGGCTCCTTCCATATCTATGGCTCCTTTGAGACTGCATTCTCCCAGATCATCCATGCTCTCAGTGCCCTCCAGGACACCGGGGGCACTCAATTCAGATGCACCCTGCTGGCTGCCACTTACATCCTCAGAGTCCAGCTCAGACAGCAAGGCACCACCAGCTCGCCAAGGAGACCCCCCTGCTAGTCCAGCTGACCCAGGACGAGACTCTTCTGTCGGCTGTGTGGTTCCACTCATTTCAGACACAGAAACCAGCTGGCTTCCCTCCCTTTCATCTTCATCCTCCTCCTCATTTAGGTTGATGGGAGGAACTACCTGAGAGATGGCATTTGCTGCTGTGGAGAGTGCTTTGGATGTGGAGGGGGTCTGTTCTGTTGACAAGTAAACAGGCTCCTTGGATGGGTTTAAAAGAGAGGCCACAGGTGGTAACGTAGGCTCAGATTGGGCATGGATCTGCTCCTGCACTGTAAATAAGGAAGTGCTGCTTTCTAGCTTCTCCTGGGGTGGACATGTCTGTGGTAAAGCTGTCCTGACAGGACTTCGTGGAGGAGAGGAAGCAGCTGCATGGCTCTGCACAGTCTCCTGAAGTACCACCGCTGGTGGGGAATCCTGGGCCAACACTGTGGGAGGGACCTCTTCTGCAGAGGCAGCAGGGCATGATCCTTGCGGTAAGGCCACTGTAGCCTCTGCTTGTGCTTCTGGTAGCTCAGATGCTGCTGTGACAGCTGCTGCCAATGCACCAGTAGCACTCTGTTCTTCTACAGCAGGTGTAGTAGTATTTGAAACCCCTGTCTTCTTGATGGCACTGAATGGTGCGACAGCCTGAGTGGGACGTTTTGCTTGAGAGGTGCTGCCGTTTGCAGATTTGTTGGCTGGAGAAGGAGGTGGAGTTCGGCCAAGGGGCGGTTTCTTAAGGGCAGGGAACCGAACAGCAGCTGCAGGTTTCTTTGTGGGAGGTTTCACAGAGGGCAGAGTTTTGGACAGTAACGGCTTAGGGTCTGCTGCCTTCATAGTTGCAGACAGTTTGGAAGTCGAGTTGAACTTCATGGATGTCAGGGGATTAGAGGGTTCAGATTTTTTGGTAGCAGCTGATGCTGTAGCTGTTGCTGGCTTCTTAGCCACTGCAGCAGGTGGTGGCTGACTGACATCTGGTGTAAAAGGAAATTAAAAATTAAAAATACAATGTGACTTGACAGTTTAATTTTTGTGAATCACTACATTTTAGCTGAGCATCTTTGTGCTATTTTTCTTCAGACAGTTATAAATACTTGTATCACAGTCACACTAACAATGTTCATTTGTGTTTCCTGTCCATAGATTAATCAGGTACCTAACAGGGATTAATGGTTCATAATCAAAGTCTTGAGCTTGAGTCTTATTTAATATGGCTGGACTCAAGTTAACCCCTTCATGCTATGTTAATACAGACATTTTAAGCCATTAAATGTTTATACAATCCAACCCTCTGAAGGGAAAAAGCCTGAATCTTGTCATTTGCTACTATGTGACATTAGTTCACCGTTTGTGTAACGGCCATAACCTCTAACCTTTCTTTGCTGCAGTAGGTTTTGGAGACTGTGCTGCTGTGGTCCTGCCAGTAGAGACTGCTGTGGTCACTCTAAAAGCAGTAGTTTTAACAGTTGCAGAGGTGGAGGGCTTGGTTGTGGTTTTAGTGGGCCTGGATGTGGTGGATGCAGGTCGAGATGTTGAGGGACCTGTAGCAGGCCTGAAGCAGAGAAAGACATGCATGTTAAGGAGACAGAGAGAAAATTAAACCGTAAAAAGACTGCTTCATTTGCTCCAGTCACTTTCTTTACAAAAGGTCCAAACCTGAAATGTGATGCTCCAACTCCAAATGAATTAACAACAATGAATAAATGACCTGTCATGATGTAAACCTAAACCGCAGTTTCAACAGCAGGAAGCCATTAACACAGCACAATACTAATGTCTCCTTCATTTTTTATGTCACTACCAAAAGGGGGCAGGGTGTAATGAGATGAGGATGACAGGAAATGCAAGGGAAAGTGAAATAACAGGTAACGCAGATGTAGAAGAGTTGAAAACTGAGGCCACAGACAGTGACAGGCGCAGAAAGGGAGAGAGAGTTGTGAGGGATGAGGGTAAGGATTGAAAACAAAAGAATGCTGAGCAGAAAAACAGATCAGAGAACAATAAGAAAGAAAGGAGGGAGGAGAATGAGGAATATGGACAGATGGGAAAAAACAAATAAATAAATTGAGAATGGTGAATGAATGCAGTTAGAAAGGGAAAGGGAGATGATAGCCAAGAACAGAGACAGCAGGTGGGAAGGAAGAAAATATTCAATCACTCCCAGCTGCAGCTGTGTTTATTAAATGATGAAAACAAGTCAAACTAAATGAAAACGTAACCTTTGAAAAAGAACCACAATAAAGCTTGTTACATTTTTTGCCAACAGTGAAAGACTGACAAAAAGACATGAGGTAACTGTCTCAGTGTATAAAGTCTTATTCAATGACCTGTATGCCTATGCGGAAACTAAAATGTAGCTCCTGATAAGTATAATAAAATCCTCTGTTGTCCCAAAGGTCTGTTCAAAAGTTGATTTAGCTGCTTGACCTATAGCAAACGTCATAAAAAGCATCTTACATTCAGTAACATTGTTTGTCATCTGACGTAAGTGCTTCTTGGAAGAAACAGGTTTATGCACTAAATTCATCTATAACATTTATGAAAGGTAAAATAATTTTACACGAAGTGCTGTGGATGTAACATTAATACCACTTGTCAGTTTTTGTGCTGCTATCAAAAAGAGGTCAACATGTATTTAGTCATTGCTGCTTAAAGCAAAAAAACACTAAACAAAAAGAACCCCTACAATTTGACTATAAGTGATATCCATTTTCAACAAAAGACAAACTTAGCCAAACTTGTGCACCAAAATGAACCTCGTAATGGAGGTCACAAACATTTTCAACTAATAAGTTATGTCTTTGGAGTATTAGGTATAGTATGTAGCATCTACATAAGATAAGATGAACCTTATTGCCATTTGCCCTGAGACAAGGTACCTTTGCACTGGAAAGCTTGAGCAGCCTCTTTCAGTCAACCATAACAAAAAACAAAAGAAAAATAGTAACATTCACCAATACCAGACAAACAGGTCGATAACAGCACCAGATATCCAATTAGCAGCCAATAACTTGCATAAAAAGTAATACTAAATATAAAATCTGTATTATACCACAAAGCTATTGCGTATGAAAGGCAACCAGTCTGATTGTCGTTGGATAGAAGGCGTTTGTGAATCTGGTCCTGTGTGTTCATACTCTCTGATCTGTGGCATCTCAGGGTGTATTCTGTGCCTCCACCTGAACAAAGAGCGACTGGGACGATGGTCTCCGAGGATGTGGTTAGAGTATGGTGATTCAGTGGAGCCAAGAGAGTAACCAGTGATGCATCTGCAGTCTTCACCACCCACTGAAGAGCCTTCCTTTCCCTTTGTGTGGCAATGGAAGGCTACATTCTATAATGTAGTTGTAGAGCTCTTATGTTGGAGGCAAAATTAATTTGTGAAATTATTCAATTGTGCATTTTAAGGGACCAACAGTCCTGCTCTGAGCAGGTTAACTGAAAGAAGAAATTAAAAATACTAAACCCCAGCTCTGTAAATAAATTTATATCTTTTTCAAACAAAACCATCTACTTTGACATAGCTGAATGTAGCTGCGCTAAGGAACTGTGTGACTCCTGCAGCAATTACAATCGTTCCATCTTCTTTTGGACTTTGTCTGTTAACATATACAGTAGATGATGTAGACATGAACTGACAAAGATGCACTGACTTTGATGGCTTTCAGTAAAGTAGCATGCCAGCACACAGATGCCACTCCCACATGACATTACAATGACCATTTGTTTCCCAAAGATAAGGCAACCACTCCACAGACATGGACTATAACTAGCTGCCACAGACAGAAGATATGCAGTCAAAACAATGGAAGCGTGTCAGACAGATATAAAATCTACCCTGAGTAAGTTGGGTAATGAACAGAATTAAAATAAACAAGGAGATATTCTACACAGGAGAAGGAAAAAAAAAGCATGAACTTCTGATCAGACAAACAGTAACAGAATGGGGGACGTTTGGAAAAGGTGTCATAATTGAAGCTTTTTTTTTTCTCCATATAACGTGAATTTTGCTGCATGTAAACAAAATTTGACTTGGCATGACCACCCAAAGTAGGACTCAAGTCAAACAAAATTGACTGAATGATTTTTGCTAAGAGGAGACAGACACAATAACCCCAAATAATCCCTGCCTCTTCTTTTTTGTTTTACAAAGTCACAACTCAAAGGCTTGATCCAGAGTTACGGCACAGAGATAAAGACACACCCACCTTATTGGTGCATTAGTATGAATTATCTTTCCTGCCAACAGAGCGTTAAAATCAATACAAATCACAGCCCAATTGGAGGCACTACACAGCCATCTACAGGACTTTAATGACCAACAGGAGGCCTTTCTTAGGGCAAAGGTCACCACACTGATATACATTATCATCAGTCTTTTCTTTGCGGTCAATATTCACAACAGATGCAAAACAACATGTCCAGGTAATTTACATATTGAGTAGCTATGACATCTGTTTGGCCAAAAATAAAAGTCTAAACATGAGCCAGGAGAGCTTTGTTGAAGTCAGCCCCCAGCCCCCCCCCCCCCCCCGCTCCTCTTTT